AAACTACCATAAGGTTTTTGGTGCTCAGCCTTCACTTGCAAACACGTAACGCATCTCTCAACATAATGGCCAATATCCACTTTCATGCCCGGCCACCAAAACTCGGTACGCAGATCATGATACATTTTTGTACTACCGGGATGAATGGACATTCTAGATTTGTGAGCTTCTGCCAGAATAGTCTCTCGCACACCACCAAGTTTCGGCACCCAGATTCGGGATCTAAACACTTTCACGCCACGATTATCTTCCGAGAGAGAATCTACACATCCAACTATCTGTTCAGACTTCACGTGTTCAGGTTTTAAAGCCTCGGCTTGCCATCTTCGCAGGTCGTCAATAAGCGTAGACTGTATGGACGTGTGAGTGATTGCATAACACATATAAGAGACATACGCTTTTCGACTCAAAGCATCCGCCACCACGTTGGCTTTACCAGGATGATAGAGTATCTCATAGTCATAGTCTTTTATTAACTCCATGGCCCTTTGCTGTCTCATATTCAAAGTCTGTTGATTGAAGATGTACTTCAGACTCTTGTGATCCGTGAATAATTGGCATTTCGTCTCATAAAGATAATGACGCCATAATTTCAAGGCAAACACTACCGCCGCCAACACAAGATCATGAGTGGGGTAGTTCTTCTCATAATGCTTCAACTGTCGGGAGGCATACACAATCACCTTGCCTCGTTGCATCAATACGCAACCCAATCCCAACTTCGACGCATCACTATAGACCACAAAGTCATCGTTACCTTCGGGTAAGCCAAGAATCGGAGCGTTCGTCAAACAAGCTTTCAAGAGCTAAAAAGCTTTTTCTTGTTCTTCATTCCATACAAACTTCACAACTTTGCGAGTGAGTGAAGTAAGGGGAACGACAATCTTTGAAAAGTCTTTTATGAATCGTCGGTAATAACCTGCTAATCCAAGAAAACTTTGGATTTCTGAGGCATTCTTCGGTTGTTCCCAATTCTGAATTGCCTCAATTTTAAATGGATCAACGGAAATACCCTCATCGGAGATCACATGCCCTAAGAATTGCACCTTTCTGAGCCAGAATTTGTATTTTGAGAACTTGGCATATAATTTCTCTTTTCTTAGTAACTCCAACATCTGACGGAGATGCGTAGCATGATCAATTTCTGACTTAGAATACACAAGTATGTCATCAATGAATACAATGACAGACTTATCGAGCATAGACCGACATACTCGATTCATCAAATCCATGAATGCAGCCGGAGCATTCATTAGAGCAAATGGCATTACAAAGAACTCATAGTGTCCGTATCGAGTACGGAAAGCCGTTTTTGGTACATCTTCATCCCGTACCTTGAGCTGATGGTATCTGGATCTCAAATCGATCTTGGAAAAATAACTTCCTCCTTGTAGTTGATCGAACAAATCGTCAATACGTGATAACGGATATTTATTCTTGATTGTTACTTTGTTTAACTCACGGTAATCAATACACATGCAAAATGAACCATCTTTCTTCTTCACGAATAACACCGGAGCACCCCAAGGTGAAGTACTCGGTCGGATGAAACCTTTATCCAATAATCCCTGTAATTGGCTCATCATTTCCTTCATTTCTGCCGGGGCAAGACGATAGGGTGTCCGTGCAATAGGTGCAGCACCTGGCACAAGGTCAATTCGAAATTCTACTTGCCTATCCGGTGGTAGACCAGGCAAATCATCAGGAAAGACATCCTGAAATTCACATACCATGGGTACATCCTTGGCCAACTTGTTTCTTTCTTTAGTGGCATCTAAAACATATGCCATGAAAGAAGTGCACCCCTTAGATAAATATCAACGAGTTTTGAGTACAGAAATTACCTTGATGTCACCGACCCCTTTTTCTCCGTACACATAAACATAATCTCCTTTACTAACTGGTATTCGGATCATTCGTTGCACGCAAATAATATCCGCCCGATTTGCTACTAACCAATCTATACCAATAACCACATCAAAGCCACGAATATCCATAAGGATTAAGTCTACTGAGAAGTTTTGTTCCTCCAATACTAATGTACAATCATTGAATACTCTATCAGCTACTAAAGGGGTTCCACTAGCGGTATCCACAGAAAACGGTTTATCAAAAAGTACAGGAATAGATTCGAGAAAGCGAACAAAGGCATGCGACACGAAGGAATACGTAGAACCAGAATCAAACAATATACGTGCAGGATGAGAATTCACGAAAAATATACTAGTGACGAGCTCTGGCTCCTCCCGAGCCTCCTCTGCTGTGATCTGGAACGCTCTAACTCTTGCTCTTGGTACTTCCTCCTTTCGGGTTGAGGAACCTCCCACCATTGGTTGTCGTACTGAGGCCTTACTATCCTCACGTTGGGAATTTGAACAATTAAGCTGACGATGTCCATAAGCTCCACAAGTATAACACGCTCGATCTCGTCTTGGGCAATTTGTACGAATATGCCCAACTTCACCACAGGAATAACAYRAAWTTTTGGACGGTTCAGAGAAACATCGTCCCGAGTGCGCCTTGCCACATCGTTGGCATGCGCAAGGTGTGTTTGACTGCAATAAATTTGTGTTAGTTACACAATTCATATACTTACTTCACTTGTATTCACAATATTATACCTGCATGGAATAGGCTCGAGATGGGGCTCGAGGAGAACTCTGAGACTGACTCCTTCTTGGGGTGAAAGATCGATTAGGTCGGTTTGCAAGTACATAAGTTGTTATTTTAGTTCTCTGTCTCTTTGGTTCGGGTATGGATTCACCATAGAGAGAAAGTTCGTGTTTTCGTCGTTTAGCACATTCAACCGCTCTCCGAAAACTTCTAAGATCACGATTTGATACAAATTCTTTAATCTCTCTCCTCAGAGCATCAACAAAATGTTCAATCTTGTGTTGTTCAGAGGTAACGAAACGTGAGGCAAAACGTGCCTTCATATTGAACTGGGTCTCATACTGCACCACAGTCAAATCTCCTTGTTTAAGGTCAATRRACTCTTTCTCCAACCGTTTYAGTAAGTCAGGGGGAYARTATTDTTYGTGAAAAWTGGTTTTGAAGCCTTCCCAAGTTAAATTATTTCTTTCAGCCTCATTCAGAGACTGGTAGGTTGCGTCCCACCATATCAGTGCACTACTCATAAACATAGCGGTCGCATAGTTAACCTTATCCTCTTCAGAGACTTTGGAGATCCGAAACACTTTTTCTGTGTTCAGTAGCCATTCGATAGCTACAGTTGGATCTGACACCCCATTAAATTCAGTTGCTCCACTAGTTTTGAATGTTTTAAACGAAGTTTGGGTGGACTTAGGTTGAGAAATGGCACCCGTATCAACCCGCTTCCCTTTCACAATATCCTCCTTTCGATGTTCATTAAGAACCTACCGCACGAAATCGGTAACCCGCTTCATCAGTCATTCACCACGAGGAGATAAAGGGGCATCCTCCTCGACAAGTGGACCAGTTTCCAAGTGATAAAGGGGCATCCACCGGGTTCGTTGGTGAATGACTTGCATGACCATCATGAGCAGACATCATTCTGGAAATGACAAAAAAAAACCTAAAATATTAAACAACATACTAATAAATGCTCATTTCTAAGGTCCGTATCCCGTATAAATCAAACTTAGTTACTATACAATCTCATTGCCCAAGTTTAAGTCCAGATACCATTTCTGGTACCTAGTTCACTTAAACCATTTCTCTGATACCATATTTGTAACATACCAGTTGCCGAACCACAATTAATGGATAGATCTAAAGCTAAATTTCAAGTTCAACCTCAACAAAATACGGGATAGATATATATATATATATATATTTATATTTATCATAAAAAGATAAGTTTTAGATCAACATTTACATCTAAAGGGCCGAAAATATTCATCGAAAAACATCAATAGGGAAAGAGTGACAAATACTATACAAAAGCATAAACTACCGTAAACCAAAATATGACGGTCTTTGATACCAACACGAACCATCAACGATCTACAACTTTCTCTTTACTCTTCACTTCTTTTCCTGAAAGGTTTACCACAAAAAGGATAAGCTAACAAAGCTTAGTGAGTTTAAATGGATATCATGCACATCATGACTCATGTAAGTACATTTATAAGAAAAATCTAGAAGTATARGAGTCAATATTCATCAAAAGCAWGTGTTAACGAGATATWGAATTTCAAGGAAACAACAAAGACAATCAAATKAATTTATAAYATAAACACTTCAATAATCAAAATCACGCTATGCACAATTAATACATTAACCAACAATTTAAGTCTAAAACAACAGACAAACATTAGGCTTGACTGACCAATCCGTATCCGTCCACTCTCGGATGGTGTACAAACCCTCTACTCATCTTCCTACAATAACCATCCTCCATCCCCGGACAGATGAGTAGGGACAGCCCCTCCGGCTGTCTCACCCGGATCCAAAGGTGTCCGACAACCGGCGCCCAACACATGAACAATGTTAGGACCAAAATTGATTCTAAGTATTCTAAAAGTTTTATCAAGCAATCGGGACCAAGGATGGAAGATCTGGAGATGTTGTTGTGCTAAAATGACTAAGTCTGGAAAACGACCAGAGCCCCTCTGGACGACCAGATCCCCTCTGGACGACCAGAGCCTCTGATTGTATAGACCAGAGCCTCTGGACTCTAAGTCCTTCAGGACCAGAGCCCCTCTGGTTGTATAGACTAGAGCCTCTCTAGACGACCAGAGCCTCTGGACTCTAAGTCCTTCAGGACCAGAGCCCCTCTGGTTGTATGGGCCAAGACCAGAGCCCCTCTGGTTGTATAGACCAGAGTCTCTCCTGACGACCAGAGCCTCTCTGGACGACCAGAGCCTCTCTGGATGACCAGAGCCTCTGGTTGTATAGACCAGAGCCTCTCGACTCTAAGTCCTTCAGGACCAGAGCCCCTCTGATTGTATGGGCCAAGACCAGAGCCCCTTTGGTTGTATAGACCAGAGCCTCTCTGGACGACCAGAGCCTCTCTGGACGACCAGAGCCTCTGGACTCTAAGTCCTTTAAGACCAAAGCCCCTCTGTTTGTATGGACCAGATCCTCTCTGGATGGTCTATCCTCTGGTTGGTCTATCCTCTGGTTGGTCTATCCTCTGGACGACTATCTTCAGAATCTTGAAGGATGATGCTTATCCTGTTTTCGATAATGATTATTTCCTTGTTTATAGGATTCAATTACCATGTAAATWTTGTCTATATAAGGAGTGATACAGGCATAGAATAAAAGTAACCATGAAACAACAATTATGAATACAATATGGGTAACACATACACCTATAGAGCACATAATAGGCATATATCCAAGTAAACTCACAATAGAATTCGGTTGAATTAAACCGAATGTCAAACCGAGTGGTCGAATCCCATTTCCAAATCAAAGTTGGAAAACCACCTCTAAGACTTCCATACAAGCTCAAACAATCCCTGGAAGATATATATTCAAAGTCTCATTAGTGAAGCACAACAAGAACTCACTTAAACCTTATTTTGATTAAGGTACTCTACTTTGAATTTCAATATAAATACTCAACTTGCAGAGCTATTTTACCCCTTTAAAACTCAAAATCACCAATTCAGATCTAAAGACAAGTTGTAGCCCTTTCTCTTACCTTTCTAGGGCCTATTTATTCCTAGTTTTTCGAATTTTCTATGATTTTCTATGGTTTTTCAAAAACAGGGCTGTAATCATCCTATCAAATGCTCAAAACACCCATTTTCCTCCAAACATTACCAATACTAGCCCAATAAGTTCCAAATTCATAGTTTCACTTATTTTTACCAAATTCCACAATAAATCAATGATAAACCATGATTATAACATCAATTTCTACTAATTTCATTGTATCTCAAATTGACTCCTAAAAGTCAACACTTGTTCTTGAGCTAACATCACATTTTCAAGAAATCTTACAATCCATCCTTGGATTTCACATACTAACTAATAATAACACTTAGTCCTAACATAATTTCATGATTTCATCTGTAAATCATCACATGCAAGGACTCAAACTCTATGCATGTCATCAAAATGAAGATAGAATATGAGTTTTACCTTTGATTTCTCTATAAATCTTTCAATAATCTTGATAAAACACTTGATTTAGGGATAGATTAACTCCCAAATGTGTGTAATCGCACCTTAGAACACCAAGACTGATTTTTGAGAGAAAACGGGGTTGTAAATGGGGCTGATTTGATGATTTACGACCTAAATCCTGAGTTGGGTCGGGTTGACCTGGCTGGGTATCCGTTTTGACCCCTAAACACTAAAAAAAATTGCATAACGTATTGCTCGGGACTCCGTTTTCGATGAGGTTTTCGCCTACGCGTCCGAAACACGATAACGTACAAGTTCCAATAAAAAGATTCCATTGTTAGAACCCAATGCTCAAAACCATACCCGAAAAGTCGATATTTTCAACACATAATTAAGCGTATTAGGAAGATGGATGTTACACTTTTCTCCACGGTCATCTTCATGAGATGGTCTACAGACATCAACCCCCTACTTTTCGGGACCCGTCTTGTCCCAATCATGTATGTCAACTCAAAAAGTCACTTTATGGTTTGAAGCAAGCCCCCCGAGCATGGTATCATCGGTTTGCTTCATTTGTTCGTACTATTGGTTTTTCTAACAGCAAATCAGATACCTCTTTATTTATTTATTGAAAGGGATCTGATATGCTTATCTTTTATTGTATGTTGATGATATTATTTTTAGTACATCCTCAGATCAATTACACCATGACATTGTGGCTCGCCTTAGTTCCGAATTCGTCATGAAAGACTTAGGCCCACTCAGTTAGTTTTTGGGTATTTCGGTAGTCCAACATGCCCATGGCCTCTTTCTTTCTCAAAAGAAATATGTGACCAAGATTTTGGCCCGGTTCAATATGTCTTCATGCAATCCTTCTACAACACCGGTGGATACAAAGGCCAAGCTAAGCGTTAATTCTGGTCCTACTTTGTATCGTATTCTTGTCGGGGCGCTTCAATATCACACATTTGCGAGGCCCGATATCTCGTATACTGTACAACAAATTTGTGTGTTTATGCATGATCCACGAGAATCTCACATGCAGGCACTAAGGCGCATGCTTCGGTATCTTCAAGGTACTCTCAGTCTCGATCTTCATTTGACTTCATCCTCAACAACAAGTCTTATTTTTTACATGGATGCCGATTGAGGAGGGTGTCTCAATACACGACACCCTACTTCTCGATATTTTTTCTTTTTGGGGGACAATCTGATTTCATGGTCCTCTAAATATCAACCCACACTATCTTGCTCAAGTACCGAGGCGGAATATAGGGGTGTGGCTAATGTCGTATCAAAACCTGTTGGTTGAGGAATCTACTACTTGAATTACATTGTCCGATCACCAAAGCCACACTCGTGTACTGTGACAACGTCAGTGCCGTCTATCTTTTAGGAAATCCAGTTCAACATTAAAGAACCAAACATGTGGAGATTGATATTCATTTGGCTCGTGAGAAAGGTGCACGGGAACAAGTGCGGGTCCTACATGTCCCATCACGTTTCCAATATGCGGATATTTTCACAAAGGGACTTACTTTCGAGAGTTTTGTTTCATGAATTTCGATCCAGCCTAAGCATTCATAAACCACCCGCTTCGACTGAGAGGGAGTAAAAGCAATGTGATTATCTCCTCCTATAATACTGATTTAGATATGGAAGATATTCTCATGAATATCTCCTAGAATGTTGGTGAAGATAGTTTAGATTTTATAATATATTTTCCATGTATATATTTTCCAAGAGAACCGTATTTATATGCTTGGTATGTAATACAAAGGAGAGGGTGATGAACTCTTTCAGGCTTGATTCAAAATGTTTTTATTATTTTTTGTGTTCTAGGGTAAAATGAATTAACTTTACTGGATTAATGTTTATGTTCTTTTATTGAATGAACACAAATTTTATGTTCTGTTGATGATGTTAATGAAAAAGAGATTTTGCGGGGAACACATCAATAGATTTAACATAATTTCTAAATATCATTTGTTGAAATCTAAATACCATATGATTTTATTATTATAACTTTCCTTACTATAAGATACCAATTTCTAGTAAAGTAAACATTAAGAAACCATCGACAAAAGTCAACTTCTCATATCCTATCACTTGGCATGCTTAAAAGTTAATGAAAGGACCAACTACATTCTAATCTATAAGTTTGATCCCACACCATTATGAATTTATGGAATTTCTTTTAAAAAAATTAGAAAATATATGTTTAATTAATTTGGGTTTGTACCCTTTAACATATGGTCTAAGTGCTTATTCTTTACACATGTCAACTCCAATCTATATTATTAATTACGCTTTGCGTAGTTAACTGTTTATATGTAAGATCGTGCCTTCTTCATGTATGTTATCTAGGGTCGATATTGTTAAGTAGGGTTCGTATGGTAATGATTTCTTGAAGTACGTTAATGAGGATCCATATTGTTACCTACCGTTAGTATTGTTAACAATTCGTCTAAAGTTGTTTATGTTTCGGTTTACTAACAAGGTTCATATTGTAAACTATTTTTTAGTAAAATTGTCCTTCTCGAAGTATGTTAATGAGGGTCATATTGTTACCAATTCATCTATAGTGGTGTTCGTTAGATATGTATGGTAACAAGGGTTTATATTGTAACTGATTTTTCTAATTAAAACGATGTTTTTGAAGTATGTTAACGAGTCGAGGGTCGATATTGTTATCTAAGGTAAGTATTGCTGATAACTAGTCTAAATCGATTTTCTTTATGTATATTAGCGGAGATCTTTTGAAAGTTTTCTAAAACGACCGTTCATCCTTTATCGTATGCCAATCGGTGTTAAGAACATTAACAATTAATTCTTTAAATAGGTTCTTGAGTTGACAAGTGGTTAAAGCTTAGGAATCTTCATTCATAATTAATTAGCACTAATTATCATTCTTAATCTTCATCATGCACCACAATCTTGGTTGACTTATGTTACCATATATACACATAAAATGGGTTGACTATATATAGATGATGTACATTTCCATGAACATTTTGAATAAAAAGAAACATGTTAGACCTCTCATAAACCACCAAATTTAAAATTATGTATGATGAAAAGTTTGAGATAATCCAAATTAATAAATCCAAAGCGTGTAATCTTTGTTTATTTCTTTGAATTGGACCCTTTTCAAGGTTATTTAATCATTTGGAATACTCGTTCCGATTGAGACACTTTGACGATATATATATATATATATATATATATATATATATANTATATATAGAGAGAGAGAGAGAGAGAGAGAGAGAGAGATGGGTTCACGTGAGACCAAATGTTTTTCGTGAGACCCGTAAGACC